TGTTTCGAGCAGGTGATATATATGTAGCGTTGCAACTAAAATTTCATGGGAGCTAAAAAAGCTTGTACATTGATAATATAGTTATGTGGAACTTGGAACATGAGTGGAAGTAGGTTTGTACTGCTAATGAACTAATCAACCTAAAACTTGATAAGAAAATCATGTCGCGGCAATCATGTTTTTAGCTTATATTGTACTCCTATATGGGAAGTCAGCTCGATTACTTTAGTTAACCTGCATTACCAAGAATAGAAAATGTATGAACAGTATATAATAGCGCAGCTAACTAGGGGCAACAAAGAACTCTGGCAGAAAGAACTACATTTCGATCTGACAATCATTTAACTACACACACCAACATTAAGGGGATGTATACCCAAAATTCTCAATTAAAAGTAAAACGAATTAAGCCAGACATTACAGTCTTGCTGCTTATAGCTTGTACATTGTTCAGAAGAATTTTACTTGCAGCTATCTATATCTCCAGTCCAGATCGATCGAACTTCAGAGAGACCATGGATCGACTGGGAAAACCCAATTAAGTTTTACATTTCCAAGCAAGATGAATGGACGAACTAGCTAAACACTGACAAACCATACCAAAACTAAAATGACACTGACATGATGCTCGCTGTGTGTGCAGTAGGCGGATAGCTCGGACTCCAAAGCAGACAAATGTCCCATGGCTGGCTAGGGTTTAGCCAGCTCTCCCAATCATTCCCAAGGCATCATCTCGTTGAGATCAAAGTCCCGGGGGGGCCCATCTTGGGCCGCTGGCACTGCTGCCGGAGCAATGGCCAGCGCCACGGCGGCTGCTGCGGCCAGAGCAGGCGGAGCAGTGGCCGGCGCCGCGGCGGCAGCGGCCGCCTGCAGCCTGTCCTCGAGAAAGTGCTTCCGCATGTGGCCGCCGAGCGCCTGCCCGGTAGAGAAGATCTGACGGCACCGGACGCATGTGTGCGACACCGGCTTCGGCGGCCGGAGGCTGATCTGTAGATCCTCGCCGACGATCCCGCTGGCGCTGGCGTTGGCGCTCTCTTGGCGCTGGCGATGGGCCAAGATGTTTTGCACGGCCTGGGCCACGGCGAGCCCGTCCACCTGCTGCGCGGCGGCGCACCTGATGGCCCTGTTGTGGCTCGCCATGTGGCCGCCTAGGGCTTGGTGGGTGGGGAACGACTTGTAGCACGACGGGCATGCGTACCTCCGATCTGACGCCGGCGACGGTATGCGCCTCACCGGCGGCCTGACGTCCTCGGGATCTGGCGGCGGCTGAGAGGAATCTGGACTCTGGCCAACTGGATCATGGAACCGTCGCTTCTTTAGCTTCTTGACGGCAGGGGAGATGGACTTGTCCTCGTCGCGGACCACGACGGGTGCAGAATTGTTCACAGGCTCCGACGCTGCGATGAAATTGGACGGCTCGACCCCGGGCGCCTGGGGCTGCAAGATGATGCCGAAGATGTGCTCCACCGGCGCACGCGTCTCGGCCTGCTGCACGTGCTGCAACGCGTCGGCGCCGGCGGCCATGTCTGGTATCACAGGCTGCTCGGGCTCCGGCGCGACGGGGTCAGCGACATGATGAGCTGGTAGCTCGAACTGATCGGCCTGTGGCATCTGCATCTCCTGCTCCGCAACGGCGGCGTTGCGGGCGTTCTGGGCCAAGTCCAAGAGAGTGTTGGCAGCCTCCTCCTCCGCGCTGTAGGTGGACTCCAGCACGGACACGGGCTGCACGGTGACGGAGGTGGCCACGGTCGGAGTGCGGCCGCGCTTGGCCGTCAACGGCCATTTGGTCGGGAGGTCATCCTCCATCCACAGCACTTTCCTCGCCTTGGCGTCTCCGCGGGTCACAGAAGAGGCGGAGGCGACCGGCGTCGGCGGGCGGATCGCCCCCTTGTTTCTCCTCCCCGGGTGGCACCTGAGGTGCCCGTACATGGCCTTGTCCGACAGGAAGGCCTTGCCGCACTCGGGGCAGATCAGGTCGCGCGCGCCGCCGCTTCCCTCGCTGTTCATCACCACCGCCACCGGGGAAGCGCTGCCACTGCTCTGGCCTTCCTGCGGCACCGCTGCGCTGGGGGAGAGCTTGGGTGTCGTCACGTCGTCGTCCTCCGTGGCCGTCACCGTCGCCGTCGCCGCCGCCTCCGCCGCCTGGAAGTAGAAGGCCCGCAAGTCCATGAGGTAGTGCCGGTTGTGGTGGTGGTGAGTGGGGTGTGGGCTTCTCAGCTGGATGGGTCGTACTGTATCCGTTTCTCTTCAAAGAGCCGGCCGGGCAAGCGAATTAATTAAAACCCAATCTCCTCCTTTACGCCGCAGACAAGAAACGGACTCTCTGACTCCCGTCTCAGTACAATTCCTTCTCTTCTTCCACCTGGAAAAGCAGGATCGGAAAGTGGCCAATCAGATAAAGAATACCAAAAGTGAGTTTCCAAATATCTGGACATGCATGCATGCACCAAAAGAGAGCTCACATATAGGAGTATGTCACTACCAAATAAGGTAGATATATATGCTCAATTTTTGTTGGACCAAAAAGCATAAAATCATGAGCAATTGCAGCTGAACAAAAATATATAGATCTCGAGCTAGCTAGCTGATACTAGTAGAACTCCAAGTAGCTAGCTACTTCCAGTGAAGTAAACATGCAATGCAGTGTGACAGAAAAAGGAAAGTTCTATGCATGCACACCCAGGTGACAGGGGTTGATCTCCTGCAGCTTTTTTCTGTCAAAAGCGTAACAGAAAACCCAGAGATAAGAACCACCACTCGTACTGGCTACTAGCAGCAGCTGGCAAGTAAATGTGGGCACTACATACTGCCTGCGGTAACATCGGGAGAGGATTAAAGTTAACGAGAAAAAAGCTAACGATTTCTAATTAACGTGCATGTGCAGGAGCTAATTAACCAAAGGGAATAAGTGGAATAATCCTACAATTAACCTGCTGATGGGAAACAGATTCTACTATATCGGAAGAAGATCGGCTACACATCACACTTGGACGATGATGGATGCAATGCAATTAGGAAGAAAATCAATAAATCGAGAAGGATTAGATCCAGGGCGCTTATTACAAAGGGATCCTGTGCATAAACCTGTGATTGGAATTGGAGCACAGGGATCGGAGATTTACCAGCTCCAGATCTACCGCGCGCAAACAAAGAAACAAATCACGATTTGCAAATAACTAGGCAAACACGTACATGCAGTAACCGAAATTTAGTCGGCATTGAAGCAGTGACACCGCCAAGACAGCAGCAGCAGCAGCTCGGGGCCGGGTTTAAATAAGTAAACAATGGACATAAAGACCCACCCGAGAGAAGAGAAATAATAACAGAGAAAAAGAGAAGCAGCTGAAAAGATCCCGGCCGGCCAGCCGGGTCCAACCCCAAGCCAAGCTGAAACTGATCAAAGTTCGGAAAGACTGGGAAAAGAAAATCTCGCAGTGAGCCTAAAATAGAGCAGCAGAGAGACAATACGGAACAAACCTCGCCCAAATTGTCCCTACAAGATGAAAAGATCTAGCAAACATTAGGAGTACCAAGAACGGCAGCTCAAGAAGCAGATAACTTCTGCCGGACCCTCCTAAGAAAAGAAAACAGTAGCATGCGCATGCAAATTGATTGAATAAAAAAACGGCGCTGGTATTCCCCTGGAAATCACTCGTTCTTTCCACCCAAGGAAGCTGAAGAGAGGCCGAATCCATGGCGTAGGGGAACAAGAAGACGCAAGAAACCAAATCGTAAGAGCAGATTCGAAGGTTGGAGACG